AGGAAGTTCAACCTGTCACAGGAGCTGCTGAAACAGTTCTACTCCGCCATCATTGAATCTGTCCTCTGCACTTCTATAACTGTCTGGTTCAGCTCAGCTACCAAATCTGACCTCAGAAGACTACAGAGGGTAGTCCGGACTGCTGAGCGAATCATTGGTACAACCCTCCCTTCTCTCCAAGAACTGTACTCATCCAGAGTGAGCAAAATGGCTGGCAAAATCACTATGGACCCCTCACATCCAGCACACTCCCTCTTTGAACTGTTGCTATCTGGTCGACGCTACAGAGCACCAGAACGGCCAGACACAGGAACATTTTCTTCCCTCAGGCAATCCATCTCATGAACACTTGACAATAACTGTGGAACACACAACACTATTTATACACTCATACACTTATTTATCTAACACACATACTCAATCTACATTTCAATTTGCACATAATATACAAATCGACAATTGTATGTACAGGTATATGACAATAGATAGTTGTATGTACAGGTATATTTTTATTCCTTATTTACTTGATCTATTTTGAATTTTTTATTTATTTGTATTTTTATTTTTTATTATCTGTGTTTTTTTGTTCTGTCACTGTCATTCGGTTATACTGTGGAAGCTTCTGTCACGAAAACAAATTCCTCGTATGTGTAAACACCTGGCAATAAAGCTCATTCTGATTCTGATTCTAACTGTTCTACTTTTGGTGCTGGGTATATTAAAAAAAAACACACAATTTATTATTGGTACATAAATTTGATCAAGCTAACTGTATATTGCCAAATGTTTCTACATGAGATAATATCGAGACATTCATCACTGATGTGTTTTTGTTATTTTGCAATCCAGAAGCGAGATCTCTCTTCTACTTTAGGTCTGCTTAATCTAATTTTATTTTCGATTGAGTTTGACTTCCAAGGATTATAAAAACGAGATGTTTGAGGTAAAGTGATATTTTAAATAAAATCTGATGTGTCTTGCGGACTTTATGGTCACCGCGTACGCATGTCCATTAAGTCCATGTGACCATAGTAATCCATTATTATAAGTTTACACCACTAATCTATAACAGAACTGGATTACTCACGATGATATAGAAGTGAAGCCACTGCACCGCCATATTCTTATTCCCTAGTGCTCCCATATATTCTATTGAATTAACAGTAAATCGTACCATTTTAATGAGAAAACATCACATAATGGGTCAGCGTTTTTATATCTGAAGTATTCCTGTACATTCTTAGAACGCAAATGTCCTATGCATGTAAATTTGATTATTTGTTTAATATTGGGAATTTCCCTTGTGTATTAAAGTTACATATCTTAGTCATAACAGTAGCGAACATCAGATGAGCATGATGAACATCAAATGGACGAGATCCTCCACATATATATATTACACATGACTAAGTGCACATTCTGAAATCTGAATGACGTTTTATGCTTTAAATGTACATATACCTAGTGGTGTAAAGAGTACTATGAAACTGTACTTAAGTAAATGTATGGCTACTTAAGGAATAATTTACTTGAGTACAAGTAAAAGTACTGAAAAATAATATGACTGAAAAACTACTCAAGTTACTGCGTTACAAAGTACTATAATTTTTCTATTTTTACCCAAAATTAGACCATGTGAGCATTATGGAGCACACTCGTACTATAATACCTGTTTCACAAGTGAGACTCAGAATTATTAAACTTGTCATATTCCAGAAAATCGCTTACAGTATATGGACAAAATGCATCAGATATCACTACAGCTGAATAACATGCAGATAGAGATGCTTTGACTGATGAAACATGGAAGACATTACACACAATTGCAATGCAAAGCTAATTGACAGCTTGTATCACAGTATAGAATTGTATCAAATATTTTATGTCTCACTGTGATAAGAAGCAACATGGAACCACAAAAGCTAATTGTTTCAAACATGACTGATGTTATATAGTGATTTTGGAGCAAAACATATGCTAAGCAAACACTAGCTATCCCTGTTGCCTGGAGCAACTGTTTTATAACTAATTTTGAAAAGTACATTCACATATTCATGTAAGATTATGTGGTTGTTTTTAAGAAGGGCAAAAGCAAAGAAGGGTAAGTGAGAGGTTTTCAAAGAAATGAGGGTTTAAAACAGTGTGAATAGAAAGGTGCCAGTAAAAAACGGTAGAATAAAAAAGCTTTTTATTTAACATGTTAACCCGTACCTAGGCATGGGAATCCAAAATCGATTCCAATTCTGGAATAGGACGCTTAAGGTCAGGAATCGTCTACTTGTTATAAAATTAAAATGTTGATTCCTCTTTATCGATTCCTTTGTGCACATTTTAATATGACTTTGAACCATCAATGCAGAATACGACTGGCTCGCTGTTTTCTGTACTGCACACATAGGGGT